ACATGGGAACCCTTTAAGTTGTAATCTTATTGGTATTGTAGTTTTGGCTTCGAGTAGCCATTTAGTAGCAATGTGTATCAGGGTCAAGGGGTTATGGGATGGGTTCCAGTACTTGTCGATACCTGCACCTGGGTTGTCATATAAGGTTTAGAAATGATGGGAATATGGTGTTTCAGTTAAGTCTAATCTGTGCAGGTGCCCGTGGCATCGGCAGCGACGTGGGCTACTGCAGGCCCAGATATCCACGAGATCCTGCAATTCCTGCGAGTGGAGCAACTGCTGGGGCGACATCACCCAGTGGCTGAGGGCTTGTAGCTTCAGCTGTGTAGAAGAGTGCAGGGTTCTGGCACCGATGCAGTTACTTGTAATTGGGGTGGCTTATTACAAATGGTTCCAATTTTGGAGGGCCTGCACTCATGAGGGCTCCATGCAGAGCTCCGTGGCTTCAGTGGCTTGGGTCTACAACGTGCATCATCTAGGGGTTTCCCTGCTAGGAAATGTATAGTTTCGGTAGAAATCGCAGAATCTGGGGCAGGACCCGGGAACCGTGATTATAGCGTGACTTTACCGTGACTCTACCGTGACTCCTCCCTGGCTGTGCTTAAAAGCAGTACAACAGGCACCGTGACTTTACCGTGACTTTGGCGTGATTTCAGAGTGACTCTGTCGTGCTGCAGCATTTTGCTTGACTGGTGTGAAGTTTTTTCGGTGGCAAGCTTCAGCAGCAGCTGTATGATCCCAGAATCGACCCTGCAACGACATGGTTCTACTCACTAGGTCTGCTGCCGCCTGCAACTCCGTCTCTTTCTAGATCCCCTGTTTGTGCCCATGCCAAAGTTGGCTGTCACTGCTGAGCAAGCTCTGGCTGCTGTTGAAGAGCTACGAAAGAGAGCTCTCAAAGGACCCCCGACATATACATATATATATATATATGGGTCTGTGTACTGCTTGACATCTTATATTTCCTATGTCTGAGGTGTATGCTAGCAATGTGTTGGCAGGAAGCAGCTATGAGGAGGAAGCAAAGCCAGAAGTGAAGCAGGAGGTGAAAACACCGACACGTGGAAAAGATGCTCCTGCAGGACTTTGTCCAGTGGCAAGCGACGAGCAGGAGGCAAGCTTGAGGACACCAAACTCCAAGACAGGAGCAGCACGAGGTCGCAGCCAGGAGCCCGGCAGTGCACACAAGCTGGGCAGCAACAAAAAGGTCCGATCGGCCAAACGCCGAAGGATGCGAGGAAAGACACCGGATGATCATGCAGCACATGCACCCGCAGAGGGAACCCGGACACCAAAGAGCAAAAGTACAGAAAAGCCTGCAGAAGCCGCCCTCGCAGACACAAGCAAGACACCGAAGAGCAAAACAGCTAGTCCAGAAAAGCCTGCAGAAGCCGCCCCCGCAGAGGCAAGCAAGACACCCAACAGCAAAACACATAGTCCAGAAAAGCCTGCAGAAGCTGACCCCGCACAGCAAAGCAAGACACCGAAGAGCAATAATACAGTGAGTCCCGAGAAGCTTGCAGAAGCCGCCCCCGCAGAGCAAACCAAGACACCGAAGAGCAATAAGACAGGGACTCCGGAAAAGCCTGCAGAAGCCGCTCCCGCAGAGCAAACCAAGACACCGAAGAGCAAAACAGGGACTCCAGAAAAGCCTGCAGAAGCCGCCTCTGCAGAGGGAGGCAAGACACCGAAGAGACGCCGGAGCAAAACACCGACTCCACACAAGCCAGCTGCACAGGCTACACCCAAGACACCGAAGAGCAAAACCGCAGAGCCGACTCCAGAAAAGGCCGCAGAGGAGACCAGCCAGACCAAGACACCGCCATCCAGGAAGAAGAGGAAGAGCAAGACACCGAGTCCGAAGACAGATGCGACGACACCTTCTTCCTCGACCTCTGGTTGGAAGGCCTGTGATCTTCTAAGAACAAGATGTAATAACTGATTATATAGTATCGATATCAAGTCCAGGCCCTGAAACCCTTCGATTCAGATAGACCCCTGCACCTCAAACCCCCAGACCCTGAGGCTAAAATCAAACCCCGAACCCCGAGGACATATATCCTGCAACCCCATAGACCCTAAAGCCTTGAAACCCGCAATCCCCGGCCAGCGGCAGGATGATGGAAGTGCAAAGTCGAAGCTCTCCAGGTCATCCACGGTGCCTTGGATTATATAGGGAATTGTGCGGGGTTGGGTCGAGGCTTTACGT